ACTATTTGAACGAGTTGACTGACTAAGTTTAATGCACGATGAAGACTATTGATTTGTCCGTGCGAAAACCAGTTGCGCTGAATTATCTTCGGGTCTTTAGGCAGACCGCGACCTGTCTGAACCAAGTGACCTGTCCGAACCAAGTGACCTGACTGAACCAAGTGACCTGTCCGAACCAAGTGACCTGCCTGAACCAAGTGACCTGCCCGAACCAAGTGACCTGCCCGAACCAAGTGAACTACCCGAACCAAGTGACCTGCCCGAACCAAGTGACCTGCCCGAACCAAGTGACCTGCCTGAACCAAGTGACTTGCCCGAACCAAGTGACCTGCCCGAACCAAGTGACCTGCCCGAACCAAGTGACCTGCCCGAATCAAGTGACCTGCCCTAGCCAAGTGAACTACCCGAAAAAAGTTACCTGCCTGAAGGAAGTGACCTGCCCGAACCAAATGACTTGCCCGAACCAAGTGACCTGCCCTAACCAAGTCACCAGTCCGAACCAAGAGACCTGTCGAATCAAGTGACCTGCCCGAACCAAGTGACCTGTCAAACCAAGTCACCAGTCCGAACCAAGAGACCTGCCTGAACCAAGTGACCTGCCCTGACCAAGTGACCTGCCCGAACCAAGTGACCTGCCGAACCAAGTGGCCTGCCTGAACCAAGTGACCTGCCTGAACTAAGTGACCTGCTCTAACCAAGTGACCTGCCGAACCAAGTGGCCTGCCTGAACCAAGTGACCTGCCCTAACCAAGAGACCTGTCTAACCAAGTGACCTGTCCTAACCAAGTGACCTGTCGAACCAAGTGACCTGCCTGAACTAAGTGATCTGCTCTAACCAAGTGACCTGCCCGAACGTAGTGACCTGCCCGAACCCAGTAACCTCTCACCCTGGCACAGTAAGTCACCGGGTCACGACACATCCATAAAATATGATAAATTGCACGATTGTAACCAAGATTTCATCAGGCACGTGGACAACTGCCTATCAGGTATCTGACGCTGAAACAGCGTTGATTACTGGTTGATTTCAGGTTGAAATGTTGACAAGCCAAAATCCATGTCGAAATGCAACCAACACTTGAAGAGACGTAGAATAACTTTTTTCAACACTGAAGCAACGTCGATCTTGGTTTACCTCATTAAATATTTGTCACATGAGCTCTTGTGGATATCAATATAAGAGTTGACGTGGGGAAGAACTATACTGAGATGTTACATGGATATCTATCAGCAGTTTCAGGAGACGACTCCATAGCGGCTCAGGTTTTCAAATACAGACCAAAGAATAAATATATTGCCATGTCCACTTTTTAGTGAAGTTTCAAATCGAAATAAAAATTTAAGGTGGCTTTTCGATGATTATTGGTGGCTTTATAGGTGGCAATTATAGGTGGAGCACTGATGGCGCAACGATGTGGCATCGATGCCGTGTCCAGCCTATGTTATACCTATAACCTGCCGATGGCCACCCTATCCGAAAGACTCTTCTTCCACCAATAACTTCCCATTATAAATGTCATTAGTATTTTCCATGCAGACAAGGATCAAATAAAAAATTCAGGCCGAATCACTATCGATTCTTGGTCGAGAATTATAATTCTTAAATTAATCATCCAGGTTTCGAAATTTTCCTTCTTTCTTCTACCATTTTATAGTTATTTATTATATTTTCATGTTTAGGATGCGTCTTGAATGGACCATTAAAACGGCAACATTGTTTAAAATTGAACTGGCCTTTATTATTTGCCAAGATTTGAAACCGCTTAAATTTTATCAAGCAGTCTTTTGATTTTTTTTCGTTCGGGGATTTCTGATAGCCATTATTATAAATATATATCTCGAATTTGATAGAGATCCAACTTACTTCGCGGCAGTTATCACCTAATTATTTAATTTAAATACGACTATTACTACATACCTGAAATAATTACAGCCATTGCGCAGTTGCATATTAACCTAATTTTTAAAAATAATTTGTTATGGTATCCTCTAAATATTCAGAAACGATAGAACCAACGTGCGTGGATGTATCATATCCACTGCACAACAGTAAAATTATTAAACTAATCCAGCTTTTCGGAGATCTGTACAGATTTGTGGCAGTAATCGATTAATTATATATTTTCTAAATGTCTAAAATCACAAAATTGAAATTCTTAAGGCGCGTTGAACCAATTTCATTTTTCAAAAGGCGCGTGAACCAATTTCTGAAGGAGCGTGTACTTTAAGAAAATGAACCAATTTCTCAAATTAGCTGAAGATCCAACTCCTCTCGAAACATTGAGAGGCCATTTACCTTCTATACAAACGACCAAACTCATATTCCTAAGATTTGTACACCAAAGCGTAAGTATAAAAGTAACAGATTTCATATGTGTTAATAGGAATGCCAAGTTCGTATACGGCGGTTAGCGGATACGTAAAATTACGTGAAACAACATACGTAAAATTAGTACAGCCACAAAGCGGGTGTAAGATTGCATACTTTTCTTGCTTGGTGGGGATCTTACTTGTTTTTAAGGCAGATATCGCTTGATTTCATAAATCGTTAACGACCAGAGCTGGGCAGCGCTACTTTGAAATGTAGCGGCGCTACCGCTACATGCTCTAAATGTAGCGGGCGCTACCGCTACCGCTACCGCTACACCAACTAGATTGTAGCGAGCGCTACCGCTACCGCTACAGTAAAATGTAGCGCCGCTACATTAGCCGCTACAACGGCCAAAATTATTGGAAATCTCTAAATATTTACTGTTCTGCTATTGGGATTTACTCATAAACATTTAATGATGATAAAACATTTTCAAAACATATCAATGCAACTTTATTGCAATTAACCTAACAGAACTACTACGGGTTAGATACAGTAAATAAAAGTTACAGTTATTTTAATGTTTTACCTTCCTTACATGGATGTCTACTTTAATCTACCAATCTCAAAAATTATCCACATATACATATAAAAAATCGGTCTTTTATTTGTATATGTATGTGGATTATTTTTGAGATTGATAGATTAAAGTAGACATCCATGTAGGGAAGGTGAAACATAAAAATAACTGTGAAAAAATAACTGTAGGTAAACTATAACATGAAAAAATACCTGTAAGTGGTAACTGGTAACAACTTAACAAGTAACGACTAACATGTTGACACTAGTAACAGGTTGAGGTTGACAACATTACACCGAAATCTTTCGTACAGTTTTATTCTGTAATTTATATTATGTATGTATCATGCTGGTTTTTTAATAATATTGAATACTATTAAGTAAAATCTAAAGGCTTTATCTATAAATGTAGCGGTAGCGCTGTAGCGGCAAAACCTCGTAACGCTACTTAAATATGTAGCGGGCGCTACCGCTACCGCTACATTGTCTTAAATGTAGCGCCACTGCCGCTACCGCTACTGAAAATGTAGCGGTCGCTAGTAGCGGCCGCTACATGTAGCGCGCTACTGCCCACCCCTGTTAACGACTAAAATAATTAGAATGAATAAATATATTATAACAACTGTGCATTGTGCACTGTATATGCTATAGTTGATGCCTTTATAAATGTTTATTAAAAACTGTTCTACCAGGCAAAAATATCGCAGGCTAAATTATGGATGAAGGCGAGTAATAGCATTTGTTTTCCTGATTACCATGCATTCAGTTGTAGTTGTAGAGAATTTTACACGTATTTTCGAGCGGGTTTTACCAGTTTATACAAATTACACAGCAATACATGTATAGCGGTCCAATTTTGATCACGTGCCATATTTGACAGTCACCGATGTTCAACCACTTGGCCGATTTCAATCAAAATTTTTTCAAAAAGTTGCGGGTTTTGAACCACCGACCCGCTGCTTCAGTTGTGGTATTCTGAAGCCGTCGGCCACTACTAATACCACAAGCCTACTAATACCACGGCCACTACTGACTTAGACGAAATTTGTTTTCAGATCGTTAGAAGCCACAAATTCCGAATGTGAAGTTCAAAAGAATACACCAAATGAAAAAGAATACACCAAATGTCCAAGTGCAAATTCCAAATGAAAAGTCCGAATGAAAAGTCTAAATGAATAGACCAAATGAAAAGTCCAAATGAAAAGTCTAAATGAAAAGTCCAAATGAAGAGCCTAAATTAAAAGTCTAAATGAAAAGTCCAAATGAAAGGACAAATGAAAAGTCAAATGGAAAGTCAAATGAAAAGTCTAAACGGAAAGTCTAAATGAAAAGTACAAATGTAAAGTTAAAGGAATAGTTTAAATGAAAAGTCCAAATTAAAAGTCAAAATGAAAAGTTCAAATAAAAAGGCTAAATGAAAAGCCAAATGAAAAGTCTAAATGAGAAGTCCAAAAAAAGTTTAAATGAAAAGTCTAATGAAAAGTCAAATGAAAAGTCCAAATGAGAAGTCAAATGAAAAGTCCAAATGAAAAGTTAAATGATCAGTCGAAATGAAAAGTCCAGATGAAAGGACAAATGAAAAGTAAAAATGGAAAGTCAAAAGAAAAGTTTAAATGTAAAGTCAAAATGAAGAGTCCAAATGAAAGGTCAAATGAAAAGTCCAATGCAAAGTTCAAATGAAAAGTCCAAATGCAAAGAAAGTCCTAATGTAAAGTACAAATGAAAGGACAAATGAAAAGTCGAATGGAAAGTCCAACTGGCAGCTGACAAAAAAGGTAGAAAATTAGAAACACATAATGCAGCAATGACTCTTCTTCGACATCAAGTGCCACTGTATCTGTGGCGCCTGACGTTTAATTATTGATTATTTGTGCCACACGCCTTAGCGCCCTCGAGTCTTTCTCGGACTTGGCAAGTGGTTCCCTCCTCAGTGCGCGTCTAGCCGTCGTCAGGGGTGTATGTTCGCTTGAATATATTGGTTGATTATCGTGTAATTTTGCATAAGGATTCTCTATTTCAAATGAAAAAAATTATAAAATATCATCAAACTTACACTGCTTCCATTCATTAATTATTATAAGTCACTAGCAAAGAGTTCAATAGTTTTATTATATATTCTTATTAACAATCATAAACAATTTTGTTGTTTTCGTGTATGTTTTAGCGACGTATAGGTGAGTACACGTGTACAACTGAAGCTGTGTTAATTTTGTTCTGAACCACTTTTGAGAAGAATTGTGTAGAATTAAGAAAAATTAAAAATATACAAAATTTATATATAAGATTGTACTTCTCTGTTGTTACACGCAAGCCCTGTACGTTGTCACAAATAACTTGTTGATGTTTATTAGCACCATCGTGACACGCTGGTATATCTTGACACGCTGGTATATCTTGATACGCTGGTGTATCATAGATACGCTGGTGTATCATAGATGCGCTGGTGTATCATAGATTCGCTGGTGTATCATAGATGCGCTGGTGTATCATAGATTCGCTGGTGTATCATAGATTCGCTGGTGTATCATAGATACGCTGGTGTATCTAGATACGCTGGTGTACCTAGATACGCTGGTGTACCTAGATACTCTGTGACACATGATAACTGCTCTACACGCAGATACGTCTGGTACGAGCAGCTATGCCGCAGCTGCACCAGCCCGGTACGCTGTTCAGTACCAGTCTGTACGCCATAGCGCACCACTTCGAGTATCTGTGCTACGGGATACGCGACAGGAAGCAGATGGCGCAGATACTCGAGGATGACACGTACCGCACCTACCCTGGACCGTTCACACGCTGCCGTGCGTAGCTTGAGTAATAATAATAATAATGATAATAATAATAATAATAATGATAATAATAATAATAATAATATCAATGATAATAATAATAATTATAACAACAATGATTATAATAATAATAACAATAATAATAATACTAATAATAATGATAATAATAATAAACATAATAAAACAATAATAATAATAGTAATAATAACAATAATAATAATAGCGGTTTCAGCGTTTTTTGGGCCGGAGGCCTGTCGCCGATTCTTGCTATCGCAGAATATATACAGCTTGTTGCGGTCTCGAACTCGCAACTCACGGCTACAATCTTGGTACCACTGGGTCACCCCGGCAGCGTTTATGGGGTTCTGGTCGCTTATTGTACGTGGAAAAACTTTGTTTGAGCGAGATTACAAAGAAGTAATTAAGATATTTGTGTGTCTTAGGTACGTGAAGTGGTCCTGAAGAAGATGGAAGTGGTTTCGAGTCAAGAGAAGTGTTTTTAGGTGTCAAAATGCGATTTTTTCGTTTCTACTTTATTAATGTTAATGACTTATTTTCACGAAATTAAAAGAAAACAATAGCGGTACTTATTTTCACGAAATTAATGTAAAATAAACAACGGTTTCATTTGAGCTGCAACTTTTCATTGCAGAGAGCCTTGCAATTTTTTTTAAATTTTTGATAGAAAATACGTGCGTAACAGGACCAATAAATTTGTCCCCATCCAGTATTTATTTAATTCAATGCGAAGTATTTTTTATTTTCTTACCTATAATTTTTTTTAGTTTTCCTGCAATGATGGTTTATATTTATTCTGTATTAAACAAATTATTATGACGTTATCCCCTGGCGTGCAGCGTCCCGGGTGCTGGAGGGCGCTCTGCACGCTCTGCACACGTCACCGCGCGTGCGACACGTGCAGACGCGGCATCTGCACATGCTGCTGCAGCCGCAGCTGCTGCAGCTGCACCTCACGTTCGGGTCAGGAGACGTTCATGTGGCACTGCAGCTGCTGCACGAACGCTGCACGGTGAGTAGACACCAGGATACTAATGACCATCACAGACAGGAGGGACTGCGAGAGGTTGTAAGAAGACCTCTCTGCAATATATGACTGGGCCCAAGTGAACAACATGCAGTTCAAAGGGACCAAGTTTGAGGTTCTGAGGTACAGAGGAACCGGAAGAGCTGAAATGGATCACCGCTACCTAGCACCTGACAACTCTGAAATAGAAGAGAAGCAAATCGTTCGCGATCTAGGAGTGTTGATGAATACTCAGATCAATTTTGGTGCTCATGTAACGGCAATAACCGCAAAAGGTAGACAACAGATGGGGTGTATCCGGCGGACGCTCAGAACGAGAGAAGCGGAACCGATGATCACACTCATCGGAGCCCTTGTAATACCGATCCTTGAATACTGCTGCCAGCTCTGGACTCCGTTCAAACTCGGCGCAGTGCGTCGTTGTACGTCGTTTTTGAGTGGAGCCTCTGAACTGGAATCCTAACCCAGTTTATGTCCACTCCCTGCTCGGGCTGTGGGTAAGAAGGTGTGTCATATTTTGTCAAAATAACCCATTAATTTTGTCTAATCGAATCTATGGATCCCTGGATCATTATGAATTGCTGTGGCCAGTGCGGTAAAAACCGCACCACAATTTAATTTAAAAATGTTGTACATATAATGTTGCATGTTGCGCAGGCACTGCGGGTGCTGAACATCTCGTACCTGCGCAACATTGAGCCGAACATCCTACTGAGCCTCACCCCCAACCTCACCCACCTCACCCACCTCAACCTCGCCCACACAGAAGCGGACGACACCGTTAGTAACTGTATTGGTTAGAATAATTATTATTCTGAAATATTGTGAATGTATCATTGAAGGTAAAACTCATACCTTCCACAAGCTTCCTCTCCTCGTTTAAACACCCACAACGAAATATTCATTTCGCCTGTTCCCATATATCCTTGGTATTTTATATTTTTATCACATAAAATTGTGAAATACATTTAATATATTTTATCTGTAAATTTAAGATTTGACTCCTATTTTAATTAACCATTGTTGTTCATTCTTCGTTCAGTTCTACGTGTGTTGAAGCTCATACGATTTTCTATATGCTGCATGGATGTAGGGGACCTGTATACTTTGTGCTACATGGATGTATGGGACTTGTATATTTTCTTTTGTGTTACCTGTGTTTTTGTCTGGGGTCTCCTCCCGTACGCTGCCCCCGGGGCCCGTGGGTGCAGGTGCTGTCAGGCGTGGGGCGTCACTGTCCCCTCCTGCGGGACATCAACGTCAGCTGCTGTCCCGTGTCAGAGAACGCCCTGCGCAGGCTCTTCTGGGACAGTCAGTGAGCTGGGGGCCTGCTGGGACAGTCAGTGAGCTGGGGACCTGCTGGGACAGTCAGTGAATTGGGGACCTGCTGGGACAGTCAGTGAGCTGGGACCTGCTGGGACAGTCAGTGAGCTGGGGACATGATGGGACAGTCAGTGAGCGTTGCCTGGGGATGTGGTAGCTAGGAAAGTTCGTAAAAAATCAGGTTGTGACTGTTCCCAATTTTTGAAAATTTTGCGATTCTCCACCCAAGTTTCAACTTCTCATCTTCGTAACGTAATGGGACGTAGTTTCGCTGCCGGGATTTCATGCATTTAATGAATTAGCTGTCATTCACTCATACATCTTGCGCGGTGGTCAATTTAACTCGAATGAATTATTTAATTAATAAAAATTATTAATTCCTAATTAATTACTCCTAATAAATTTACTCTGTAGGTAGGAATACCAACGGAAAATATTAACCAATTGTTGGACTAGAGTTACTTATTCGGTATCGTGCCTGACAAGACACATTTAGAAAAATATGTGAATCATATTATCTAAAAAATTACACACTTTCTTAAACACCACGCGAGTAGAAAGCGGTCGTAGCATTGATACGCCTTTTTCTGGACCAAATTTGGTCAGAATGACCCACAAAGGGGCAAAATTAAGTCGCTATCCTGACAAAGCAAAGTTGCACTCATTTATTTGTGTACAGGTAATCAGCGACGGGGTCACCGGGGTCATCATCAGTTGCCATGACAACGCTATATATACGGCGGTGTTTAGTCATATTTTAGGTTCTTCCAATAAACGATTAAGATGGACTCTCGAGGCGATACTTCTCGCATCGATTCCATAAAATTAATTTTTATATTAGTAGTTCTGGTGTATTTTCGTGTAGTAATAGATAGTGCGCATTTTATCGGTACGCAGAAGCCCACTCGTAATATCATATTTTATCTGAGTCTCTACGTTGTTCCACATACATAACTTTTCAAAAATTAAAAAAAACATTATTATTTGAAAAAAACATTATTACTGCGAGTAAAGGATGCAATCTTTAACCTGCATAAATGAGATCGAATGATTGCCACACTTTTTGAAATAATTTATAACGTCAAATATATTACGTAACTATGGTGTTCGCAGCTTTAAATTCGAACATATTCACTATGTCGATAGATATTTTTACGATTCTTATTTATTATTGTTGATAAATTCGAGATTTTCAATTATAATTGACGCAGAACCAGGAGCATTACTACCTTTTAAGCAAAGGTGAACCTAAGCCTCATTCGATTCATGATCATATTCAAGTTAACAACGACATGAAAAAAATTTAATTCTGGCCACATAACGTAGAATTTGTCGGATTGTTCGTTTGAACAACAACATGAGTGCATATAATAATAAAAAATAACGTATAATCTTAATAGTATTTAAAGTTATATAGTTATTATTATTTATTAAAATCTTAATAGTATTTAAAGGAGGAGCTGAAGCTCCTCTAAATTGTCCCTGGTGAAACCACTGAGAAGGTTCATACACATAGCATTATATAGTTATTGAGATCTTAATAGTATTTAAAAGGGGAACTGTAGTTCCTCTAAATTGTCCCTGGCGACACCACGGAGAAGGTTCCTACACACGGCATATTATAGTTATTAGGATCTTAATAGCATTTAAAGAGGGAACTGAAGGCCCTCTAAACTGTCCCTGGCGACACCACTTATGAGAAGGTTCATAAATAGTATTTAAAGTTATATAGTTATTAAAATCTTAATAGTATTTAAAGGGGGAACTCTAAATTACCCCTGGTGACACCACTGAGAAGGTTCCTACCCACGGCAGCCACAAGGTGAAGACGTGCGGGCGGGTGACGCGCGTGAACCTGACGGGCTGCGAGGTGTCGCCGGGAGGGGTGCGCGCTGGCCTGCTGCTGCAGCCTGCACTGCAACACGTCGAGCATGAGAACAACCTGCTGGTATGCCTGGTTGTTGCGTTGACTATTGCTTAGTGTTTAGAAAAATAGCATGGGCATTGAATAAACTCTTGCTAAATATCTAGAATAATGGCATCTCGAACTTGCTGCCTAAGTATTACGAAATTTTCATTGTAGTTTGGTTTCAGTGAGAGAAATATTGGACTGTCAGAAATTTATCATTGTTACACAGACGGAAAATACGGCAGCCAGCATAGTTGCAGCTGTCACAGTAAAAATGTGATAATAACCATGAAATCTCATTGGATATGAATTATGACTTTTTGACATCTCATTAATTAATAACCATTACTTGTTGGCATCTCATTATTTAATAACTATCACTTGCTTGCATCTCATGAAGCAATAACTTTCACTTGTTTGCATCTCATTAAGTACTACCTATCACTTGTTTGCTTCTTATTAAGCAATAACCATCACTTGCTTGCATCTCATTAAGCAAATATATCACTTGTTGGCATCTCAATTAGTAATAAATATCACTTGTTTGAAAATCATTAAGTAATAACTTTCACTTGTTGGCATCTCATTAAGCACTAACTATCACCTGCTTGCATCTCATTAAGCAAAAAAATCACTTGTTGGTCTTTTACTAAGCAATAACTGTCACATGTTTTCATCTCATTAAGCAATAACAGCATGAACAGCCCTAAGTCGAAGTCGTTAACGCAGGCGTTCGACGTGAACCATGGCTACGACTGGGCGGACGAACTCAGCTACGCCATCACGAGCCTCACGGCAACCGGCGTACTGGTGACAGATGTCGCCATGGACACTATTGTTGCCGTGTGCCCGTGTCTTACGGTGAGATTGTTGCCGGATGCCCGTGTCTTGTGATGAAATTGTTGCCGTGTGTCCGTGTCTTGCGGTGAAATTGTTGCCGTGTGCCCGTGTCTTGCGGTGAAATTGTTGCCGGATGCCCGTGTCTTGCGGTGAAATTGTTGCCGTGTGTCCGTGTCTTGCGGTGAAATTGTTGCCGTGTGCCCGTGTCTTGCGGTGAAATTGTTGCCGTGTGCCCGTGTCTTGCGGTGAAATTGTTGCCGTGTGTCCGTGTCTTGCGGTGAGATTGTTGCCGTGTGTCCGTGTCTTACGGTGAGATTGTTGCCTTGGGACCGTGTCTTACGTACGTTAACCCTCTATATACCGCCGAATGTCCCTCTCTGGGAACATAACTTTTCAACTTAATCAAATTAGACGTAAACTTTTCCGTCTGTACGTGTAATTTCTATAATAACATCACCTGAGGACGTTTGTACGCAACAGAGAACATTTTAAAGTTGTACGTGGCGGCAACCATCAGTGCAAGTCATTTTGTGCTCACTAGAACGTATCCTTTTTGGGAAGTAGGCTCGTGACATATTGCTCCGGTTACTCGTGTCAGGCGGTAGAGGGTTAAGTTTGTTGCTCCGTGTGCCCGCATCTAACCGTGAGGTTGTTTTGTTAAGAAGGCTCTCGTATTTCTGGGGTCAAGCAACTATTTTTTGCACTTATGCTCATTTGGTTTGAATTTTTTTATATTGTCTTACTCCATTAATTCGATTAGAAAAAGAATTTGTGAAAAGATTCCAAATCAGTTTTCTTCTGATTTCTATCATAAAGAAATTTTGCATTAAATACATTATTGAATGATGGAAGTAGGACACGATTGACATATTAAATAAATAATATGGCTTTTTATATATGCGTATAATATTAAAACATTGGCATGCATGGAATAAATAAAATGTATTGAAGATTATTTCAGTATCCCCGACTGCTAATTATTTTCAGTCTCTGACGTTGTCGAGCTGCGTGGTGAGTCAGAGCACGCTTCTCACAATCTCCTCTCTGAGTCAACTGACTCAGCTGAGTATCACCAACACGGCTGATGAGTCAGTGGGATTCTGCGAGTCAATTGTGCCACTTTTGTGTGTCAGAGGCAGTCAACTCACCTCCCTTCTGCTGGCAACATTCACCTACGTTGACTTGAATGGTGAGCCCTTTAAGCGTACATGATATAGCTCAAGTTTGAGTTACGTTTTTTCCAGTTAATATTCATGTTGAGTCGTTTTAGCATGGAGGGTGAATCTTATTGAGAGAAATACTGCGTAATGTTGACTTCCCTGATGAATAATTCAATGCTATAATAGGAGCCAAGCATGCCTTCTTGTTGACAACCTCGGGCGAGGAGTATCAATAGCTCGAGAGATTTAATAGATCTTTAGATGAAATCTGTACCTAGTTTGCAACAGCCCCTAGTTCCCCACACCACATAGTGTATTACATCCCTTAGCTCCCCTCAGCCACATTGGCCCAACCACCACCCCCCCCCAGCCACCTCCCATTGACTGGGGGGCGGGGGAAGTGGGGGGGGCCCTCAATGAGGGGGGAAGTGATAGGGGCAGCGTGCCCCAACATCGAGAACCTGGCACTGAGCAACGTCGCGGTGTTCGAACCTGTGGCGCTGGCCACGGCTTCAGCCAGCGGCGGCAAGCCCTTCGAACGTCTGCAGGCTTTAGAGGTGATATTATATGCTTAATTCTTGAGTAAGTGTATATAGATTTTTATTTGTTATTTAAATGCGATTATGTGCTGAAATATTATATGCGCTAAATTAATTTATAGTGGAACTATTGTGAAAATTTTAACTGTTTGCCAAATTTTTGCTAGCAACTCAGCCTGCTGCTGGTCTGAATGGATTAAGCATCAAATTTGAAGACGTAATTTCTCGAAATCTAGTTTTCTTCAATCTCGTATTCCCGAACCTCATCATCACGAACCCCATCATACCGAACCCCATCACACAGAACCCTGTCAACCTAAAGCTCATCATCCCGAAGCCCATTATCTCAAACGCCACCCTCCCAAACTGCACCATCCTGAAATTCATCATCCCGAGTAAAGTTGATATGCTGAAACATAAGTACAGCACCGGAAGATAGATCCGTTCAAATTTACATGCAGAACGGAATTTTTGCAAGCCCTATTTTGAAATATCCAGAAGCTGGACCTTATAATATCGAATGAACTTTTTTCCACTTAAAAATATTTTCACATTAGTTGTTTATTTTTTCATTTGTTTCTTTCAGATATGGACGGAGCTGCGCAACAGCAGCTGCAGTGCTGCGGTGCTGCGGCTGCTGCTGCTGCACTGCACAGCACTGCGCAACTTGCTGCTGCGCGGCGCTGACCAGCTCAGCCATGACCAGCTCATGACCATCTGGCTGGTGAGGATATGATGTCATGTTAGTCATGTCAGTCATGGTGGTCATATTATGTCGGTCACGTCGGCCATGCTTGATATTATTAGCATGTGTTAAATTAAAAAATTAGTACCATCAGTTATAATGATGGAAGTCATTAGCCCTGCTAATCATATTCCATAGCATTTATCTGTTTTATATAAATAAAATTTTATGAAGACATTTCTCTATTTTGAAATAAATTAACTATTTTGCATTCTTCTTACCTTTCGATTCTTAAACAATTTCTGTCCCATTACGAAATAGTGAATTGAAATTTCAATAATATTACCATCATTATCAATCGTCAATCATTGAAATAATCATTTTCGAGATTCCAACAATTACTCATTAGTAATTATAATACCAACGTAATCATCATTATTCTACTATTGTCGGGCTGACTCACTTGTTGCCTTATGTGTGTCAGACGAGCAACCCGATGCAGGAGCTGACGCGCCTGACGCTGGACACGTGTCCCAACGTGACGTCATCAACCCTCGAGTTCCTGCTGACTCAGGAGAACAAGTTGAACATGTTGCGCGTCTGGAACTGCTTCAACATACACAAGTCACATGAAATAAACATCCTAAGTATGATTAAAACAGGCAACATGGATGTCTACTTTGAGTGGTACGCCTGGGAGGGGTGATCTGTGGTTGCCGTCTGTCCAGTGTGTCACATGAGTGTGTTGCCAGGTGCGCGATGCTGCCAGATGCGCGGAGTTGCCAGATGCGCGGTGTTGCCAGATGCGCGGTGATGCCAGATGCGTGATGTTTCAAGATGCGTGACGTTGCCAGAAGCGCGGTGTTACCAGATGAGCTGTATTTCATGACTTGGAATGCTTCGTCTTAGTAAAGCAAGTGCTGTGGTACTCTTTTTTTCGTTAATTCTATATTTTCTTTAACATTGGCTACATTTTCAGCGGTTTCTTATTTTACCGTTCTAGCAATCATTGGCCTTTAAAAGGCACAAAAATATTACAATAATTACCTTTCTTGTGTTACAAGCCATCATTGACTTTAAAAGGCACAAAAAATGTATTTTTTAAGGCATCAGCTATTCTGATGCCACTCAATTTCTAAACAATCAATCAATCTCTAAATCTCTAATATCAATTAATAACTGTATTATTATTCCGTTACTACATTAGATAAATTTCCTCACAAACGAATTCTTATTAACATCGCTAGCTGCGATACATTTCTTAATTTTGTTGATGAATAAAATTTTTATAATACCATGTTTTGTCACTTCATGCCTCACAGATTTTTGAGGGGGTGGGGGGTTCAAAAGATGAAATCATTGTGTTCTATTTTTATATTAAAAACTTTCATTTACGAATGTTCAAATACTGGATGCGAATATTATTTATTCATATAGTTAAATAATCGTAATTTCGGGTTCACTGTATAGTCCGCACTATGAAAAATTAATGTGTCAAATTGTCTAAATAGATATTTACTTTGACCGGTCAAACCGACACGCTTTTTGACCGAAAAAAACTGGGTTTAAATTACACACACTAGAAAAATATAACTCAGTACTTACAGCAGTGAGTGACAGAGAGCGCATTTTCTCGTCGACGAAAATTGAGGTCACGAACGGACGGACAGACAGACGGACGGACAGAGCACAATAGTGCATTTTTTCCATAAATGAGAAAATGCGCTAAAAAGAAGCCTATCGTTATTTGGACAAAGACTTACTTATTTTTCAAGCGCAGCCTGAAAATGAATATGAAAATAGGTTCACCTTATTGTTGTAATTGAGTTGTGGAAGTCAATCATTAGATTCATCAATACGATGAAATTGCCGGTCTATGTAATACTTATTAACACGAAGAATTAATATACATTTTGCTGGATACGAGTCTCGTTATATATGACGACCTGAGAAACTGTATGCAGTATGTTATGCATAATTGAAGAAAATTGTTACGCAAATACGAACCTTATGAATAATTTTAACGATGCTAACCTTGTATTCAATATAAAAGTAACGCAACGGCACAGAGTAGTAATTAAAAAGTGGTATTTAACGTGATATAAATTTGTAGTATAAAACGAGGTATAAAACGGGGTATAAAACGGGGTATCAAAATTCAAATTGAAATAATAAAAGCTGTCTGCTGCTTATAAGCGTCGAATAGCCAATTGGATCTTATGTTTCATTTTTATATGAGCGCTATTTTTCAATCGGAGAGAAATCACACACACGCTTGAGATGGTGGCGTTGCAAGCTGACGTTATATATAAAGTCACTTGCGCAGAATACAATTGGACTATGTTAGAAAAAGGTTTAAATGCTACGACTTTAGTTGATATTACTGTGCTTGTATTTCGAGTTTCTTATTAGAAAAAATTTTCAATGCATCGGAGTTGTTAGTTTTAAAAAAATTTCGAGATTGAAAATCGCTATGTTACCTTCAGGCGCGTCTGCGCAAGAAAATTATTCACACTTACTTTGGATTTGATCATTAAACTTGTACTATTAACCATAAATAAAGTAAAAATCACAAAATACCTTATATTAGGTAAAGTAGAGGGTATTTACTATAGTGTATTGAAATAGTGACACAGTTTTCGTTAGCCCTGCGCATGAAATCAAGTATTTACTGACCTTCTTGAATGTAATGACTTGTCTTAACTCGCGTTAAATTTATATTTTGGCTCCCGAACTTTGATAGTATTAGGTATGTTGAAAATAAATCTTCAAAAAGACATACGATCTATTGAAAAAATTTCAAAGCAAGGAACATGATACCTATAGCGACACTGTCTTCTGCAACTCTGCCTCAAGGCAAACTAAATAAATTGATGATGTTCTTATAATAGGAACCACTCTTAGGCTGTGGAAACATATATCTTGATCTGTTCCCTATACTATTGTAATGAATTGAAATTAAATATCAAATACATTGTGTCCAATAGTTTGTAAGAATAATAATAGTAGCTTTGCATTAGTGATAAAGTATTGTAAACTAGACTCCGGTTGAGTCTCAGACATAAAATACGTTGTCTCAATCAATGCCCTGCTCAATGCTGCAACAATCCGGGTTAAGTTGACAGCCAAGGCACCACTATAGATTCATTGAAGTAACGAGAAGCCAATTTTTATTGCGTAATTTTCCTGTTGTTGCGCGAAAAAAACTGCATTCATCAGATTTTGTATCCGAACGTCAATACTCCAGTCATCCTGGAGGTCACTCAGGTAAAACTCTACGGATTTTAAGACCAATATTCAAGTATCTCCGTAGCTGCTGCGTCATCCTTCCGTATAGGGAGGGTTTCAGGAATCGGTCGTACATTAACCACAAATAAACTGTTTGTGTTTGTCTTAGAAGGTTAGTTCAGCAGCGTTCAGCATCGTTCAGCAGCGTTTAGCAGCGTTCTGCAGCGTTCAGCAGCGTTCAGCAGCGTTCAGCATCGTTCAGCATCGTTCAGCATCGTTCAGCAGCGTTCAGCAGCGTTCAGCAGCGTTCTGCAGCGTTCAGCATCGTTCAGCAGCGTTCAGCAACGTTCAGCATCGTTCAGCAGCGTTCAGCAGCGTTCAGAGCAGCGTTCAGCAGCGTTCAGCAGCGCTCAGCAGCGTTCAGCAGCGTTCAGCAGCGTTCAGCAGCGTTCAGAGCAGCGTTCAGAGCAGCGTTCAGAGCAGCGTTCAGCAGCTCTCAGCAGCGTTCAGCAGCGTTCAGCATATGATTGAATTGACATTGAGATAATAAGACTTAATAAAGTTTTGTTCAAAATAATGAGGTGTAAATGTACGGTTATTATATCGCTCGAGATATATCACTTCATATCATGACGGATGTGTAGTGATCGTATTGCGTCGTACTGTCAGTCACAGTGACTGTAGTGTTACTCGTCTAACAAGTTTTAATGACGGATATGTTTTGTGCAATAGTTAGGGCCACATCTGCTTACGCATATATTATAATAAAATAGATAAACATAAATGTTGCTTGTCAAGTGTCAAAATTTTCAGTGTATCAATAATTTAAGAATAATTTCAAAAACCTTGTGATAATGCTCAGTTTATTAATTGATACGCAGAACCTATGCAACATTGATAATCAGTATCATACCATTCATTATTCATGATATTAATAACGTTGATATGAATATCCATATGACAGGAGGTAAGTATATACTTTTACACTAATAAATAGGTAGTAACTGTGCAAATTCTCGACAGACCCTCAACTTACTAAATAGTCGAGTCCGGCATGAAATAAGTGGCGTTATTTTTAAAGAAATCTGTCAGATCTGGAGTGTTGGATGCAATTTAAATATACATGTGTAAATTGATCATAATTAAAGGAAAAACACGGCTTGATCTCAAAACTGGATACGAGCTCTCAACGATGGTCTCTGCCAGCCCAAGTAAAAATTAAGGGTGGCGCATCGATGATTATAGGTGGCGATGGTTGATTACAGGTGGCGTAACGGTGGGTGGCCAGATCTGCCAAAAATCGACAATAAAACTCCAATAAATCGTGAGTGTGGCGAGTATAGGTGGCGGTCATCGATGAATCATCGATGATTTATAGGATCTAAATCATCGATGGTACATTGCAGGTAAATCTCTTGTAAGCCACCGCTAACCGTTTTCCCAAACAGCACAGTGCACGAAGGAATTTGCCACTGTGATTTATACAAGGTAGAAAGGAGTTATTGGGTTGCGGTTCATTCGAGATCCAGATGAAACCATGATTTCGTTCTGTGTGCTTGGCTTATAAGATTTTGATTCACGTTTAATTCAGCGTGAATTCGGTAGGTACGAGTAAAACTGATGGACAGTTGTAGGGCGTTCACAAATTTTTCATGCTACAGTGAAGTAACTGGGCATGTATTGGACTGCTCCTGATACAAAATTTCCGCGTAGCAGTGGAAAATTTTGTTGCGAAAAAGAAAGTTTTCCAAAAGATGATGGTGAATTCAATTTTTCAGGTGTATTGCAGCTAATGGCCACCATCTTCCTGATATTGTTTTCAAAACATTAGTATTCTAAATGGTATGTTATGCTAACCTCGAGGAAAATAACCTTTCTTCTTTATGCAACTCCATTACTCTTTTATTTCGCCTCAAGACTGCTCAATCGGTTTTGCCCCACCCTGTATATCGCGTAAATTTATTGCAAATTTTGTGCAGGCTCCAAGTATGCTGTGCTTGAAATATTGCGATAAATTGAGACTAATTGATTTTATCAAAAAGTATAAATTATATGGTTCGATTATGTGTGTTTCACCATATTTATATTATTCTCAAGTTGATGCATTTATCTAAAGCCACGTTGACGCAGTTGACAGCGGCCCGGCATCTCTAAAGCGCAGCGAGCAGCTACACGTGTACACGTTCATACCTGTTGGGTTGGAGCACATCAGCGTTGAGCTTCTTTCTCATTAATCATTAACCGTCTTGCTTGGAATACGTGTTTTCCGGGTAATTTGCTTGTCAAAATAGTATCCTCTTTACGCAGAGGGATACGAGTAAAAATTCGGTTTTCTGTTACTGACTTCGATAGCGAAATTTAATTATTTTGTGGAAATTTTCTTAAACCGCGAGATAATTATTTTGAGTTTACGTCTACATTTCTAATTAAGTGGAGTCTACGTCTTTCCTACGAAAAATATTAAACATTAGGCTGCAGAAAAATAGTGACACGAAGTGATGAAGGTATTTCACGCCTAACTTTTCTAAATCATCGAGTGATAATTCGTTAAAACACGCAAGAATATACTTGACGAAAATATTTCAAATCGAGCCGCTGTTAAAATTGGTGTGATGTTCACATTATGAAACTTCGATACTCATCAAGAATTTTCCTGTAGCCTTTGCTCTTAGCTGATCCATCGTTCGTTATGGATAAACGAAGTATCTTTCAGCGGCTGTTTTCTCGATTATAGCAGCATGTATATATAAAATGGCGAATGGAGCCATCTAATCATCACGGTGGGAGCATTAACTTCTATCATTCGATGAAATTCATATTTGCTATACTTCAGTTGAAATCTTTTAAAATTACTCGACTGCCGTGTCCTCTCCGATGGCGCAACGGTAGAGGCTCCGCTTCGAGTGCGGGAGATCGGAGTTCGAATCCTGCAGGCCGAGGCTTTCTTCAAGTCGATTTCTCAGGAGGTATGTGTATGGTACTCTGATAATTTGTTCCTGCTACATGTCTGACATTGTTA